GATAACCCTAATGTTTCTTCTACTCTGTTTATTTTTACTTAAATTTAGAAAGATATGCTTCATTTCTACCCTCAATCTTATCGCTACATTTATTTGCTATTTAAAATTGAAATTAAAAAGACAAATGACAAATAAGTTTCTATATTAGCTCACTTATGAGCAAAATATATTATAACAATCTTTACTAATTTTATAACAATACATAAACTATACTCCCTCCGTCCCATATTAGATGGGCACTTCCAACTTTACACGGTGATTAAGAAATCATTAATACATTGGAAGACTTCACCATTTTGCCCTTTGTTTATATCAATGCATATTGAAATGAGTTACAAAAAATACACATACAATATAGGAATGGTCATATTAATTGTAGGGGTAAAATGGAAAAGAATTAATTAATTATATCCTAATTTAATAAGTGCTCAAATAATATGAAAAAAAATATTTTTAGTAAGATTCTCATCTAATATGGGACGGAGAGAGTAACAATATAACTTTATTAATGTTGGGCCCGGCCAGCGCCGGGCTTTCTTTACTAGTATATATATAAAAGAGAACCCTAGGACCGCCTACGTGGCTCCACCACAAACCAGGATTCCCTTTTAATTTATTTATTTCCAAAATTAGCCTTCTTTTTCATGAAAAGTTGTGACTTTTATAAAAAATTGTGACTTTTATGAAAAGTTGCGACTTTTGCGAAGAGTTGCGACTTTTATGAAGAGTTGCGACTTTTATGAAGAGTTGCAACTTTTATGAAGAGTTGCGATTTTTATGAAAACTTGCGACTTTTATGAAAAGTTATGACTTTTATGAAGAGTTGCTACTTTTATGAAAAGTTGTGACTTTTATGAAAGGTTGTGACTTTTTCAAAGAGTTGTGACCTTTCCGATAAGGCACAATAAGCATTTATTGACACTACCATTTGTTGTCTATAAATAGAGGGATTTCTTCTCATTTTAAATTTTAAAACAACAAAAATTCTGAACTTATTCTTCTTCTTCTGCACAATTGAATATTCGTGTACTTTGCTCCTGTTGAAATGGCTCACTGACACCATTGTTTTTGTATCAATACACTTGTGAATAGAATCGTTCTATCCTGAGATGATCTATTCCTTTAAACCTTGGGTACTAGAAGGGAATAATTTCCTTAAGGGGACAATGTGCATTCAGTGGGCTCGATTTTTTCCTTTATGTTTCATTCTATTGTTATAGATCTTTGTATGTTTTTACAGTCATTAATTTATGCTTATGTTATTGATTGCTTTTTTTGAGTACATATTTTAAATTTTGTTGTTTATGTTTATGCTTTTGATCATTATGTTGAAGTAAAGATATGTTAATCCAGAGTTTGATGTAATCATTAGACTATTGGTGTCATGTAGATTAGAATTCTTAAACTTGTAAAATAAATGACTTAGATCTTTATAGAGTTTTCAGTGGCTAAAAGATCCATGGGATGTCCAAGAAGGGACTTTTGAGTGTTCAGAAGTTATGGTGGTTCCACACTACCTTGGAGTTTTAGTTATTCAACTTTCTATCTTATCGAGACATTCAATTGATTAGTGACATAAAAAAAATAAAGGAATGTAGTGGGATGGTAAGTATTGTACTCAACCTTAATCAAAAGTTTGAGGTTCAAATGTTGGAGTGGAGTCAATGAATTATCCCTCGAAGTAGGATGAATTCATATTAATCAAATATTAAAGAAATAATTATCTCCTTATAAACATTAGATTAAAAGTCGCAAAAAAAATATTTTTTTTACCTTATTGATCGAAACATAAACAACAAAATATGCCTTTTGGCTATCAAAGTAGTGTCATCGACTGCGAATGATTTTTGAATAAGGGACTTGCCCAAGACATAATTTAATTCAAATTATTTGAGCGACATACGTTATTTCATTGAACTCCAAGAGATGTGTTTTTAAATTTTAATTAACTTATCAAGTACACAACTAATTATATAAGATGTATTAATATTTAGATAATTGTATGTAGAGGCCTTGAATAGGAGAAAAACTCTCGCAATTGATGAATAAAATGTTTGTACCACTTTTCGAAAATACAAATATAGACAATGAAACAATTATATATCTTTTCTAAAGACTTTGGTGATGAATAACTACAGTAAAATGAAGAATTAGTAACAAAATGCATAAACACTTAGAATCATTTTATTTTTTTTGATTTTAAGATTTACGAAAATATTTCATTTCATCTTTGGATAAAATATTCTTGACAATTTATCGTAGGGTTGTACCCACTCGAAAACACTTATATTATCAAATGTTCAGAAGTAGATTATTGACGTAGTTCACCACCGCGCGAAGCGCGGACAATTTACCTAGTATATATAAGTAAGAGAACCTTAGGCCCGCCTACGTGGCGCCACCACAAATCAGAATTCCCTTTTAATTTATTTATTTCCAAAACTAGCCTTCCCCTTTCATGAAAAGTTGTGACTTTTATGAAAGGTTGTGACCTTTCCGAAGGGTTGCGACTTTTCCAAATAGTTGGAACCTTTCCGATAAGGCACAATAAATATTTGTTCACACTACCCTTTGTTGTCTATAAATAGAGGGATTTTCTCTCATTTTAAAACAACAAAAATTCTGAACTTCTTCTTCTTCTTCACAATTAAATATTTGTGTACTTTGCTCCTGTTTAGTGGCTCACTGACACCATTGCTTATGTTACAGATCCTGGTATGTATTTTTACAGTCATTAATTTATATTTATGTTATTAAGGATAAATGATAAGATGTAATAATTTTCATTTTCCTTTACATTATTAATGTTTGTTACTACGTAATCTTGTATGTAAGATAATATAGTGTTTTAGTTTTACTGATTGATAAATTTTAAGTATTATTTTATAAATTTCGTGATATTAAATTTCCGCGCGAAGCGCGGATTATTTTACTAGTTAAAAATATAAGAAAACAATCAACACTTGAGGAAAAATTGAACGAATTATATTATGACCCTCATTTTAGTTCATTTCAATCCAAGTAACTTTTAGACGAGTCAATAAATCACTCATTTATTAACTTACCCCATTTTAACCGGTGCAATTGAAGTAGAGGTGGACTCTAAATAGAAAAATGAAATGACAAATTGGGTGAAATCTGTAATTAACTGAAACTTTTATTTAAAAACTTTAGGGGTCTAACTGTCAGTTCATAAACTAAGTAACTAACTTAGTAGGCCCACTTAAGTAACATATAAGTATGTACAAATCCAATCAAACATCACCAAAATCTGATCAAATTTCCCCAATTTATATTGAGCAGCACAGTCACTTCGCCACCACAATTCCGCCGCGATGAAGAATTTCAGCTACGACGATTTTGAACTGAGAGAGATTCAAAAGCTCGAAGGTCACACCGGTAAGGTTTTGGGCATAGCTTGGAAGGAGGATACCGGATTATTGGGTTTTCTGGCAGTAATGGCATCCTGGAGTGATGATAAAACCATACGAATCTGGGAAGAGAACTTATCCGGCTTTTTCGTGTGTAAGGTTTGATTTCTTTTTTCATTTTCTCAAATTTATCATTTGGATTACCTGATTGTGAATAACTGATAAGGTTATAAGTGTTGAAAAACATTTTTAAGTGGTGAAACTGATGTTATAAATAAATAGTTATGTGTTTGAAATAGAAGTTTTGAAATTGTTAATAATAGTTGTGATAAAAAAAATAATGATAAGCAGTTGTTTTGTTAGAATGACTAAAATTCTCTTATTGTTTAGTTAAAGTAGGTTGGAGTCCTACATTGGTTGGAGAATGGGCATGCGATATGTTTATATGGACTTGGACAATTCTCTCCGACGAGCTAATTTTCAGGATTGAATCGGCGTCTAAGGTCCATTCAACATGATATCATAGCTAGGTCCATTCCTATTTGGGCTTCTGTTACACGCTTCAGTTGGACCCAGGTGTGAAGA